TACCAGAAACATCTAAGTGTGCACACCCCCTCCATCTCATAGTACCTCTGTGATCTTGGTGAAGGTACTTAACCTCTCTGAACCTATTTCATAATCCAGTGTGAATAATAATTATTATATATTATTATTATTATTATTATTATTATTATTATTATATGTTGTAAGAATTAAATGGATTAACATATAAAATGTGTTCTGTACCATGCCACCCCAGCCTGTATTGGTAGCAAGTGAATATTCTCTCCTTTCATCCTGAGTTTACACAGTTCTTGTCAGGACTTCAATATGTATTCTGATTCCTTAGCATTATTTTTTTTACTGCAAAGTCTGTGTATTTGAATAATCATCTACTTTTGCAATATATTTATTCAGCAGTTAATTCATAAATAACCTGAAGAATTAGTATTCAACCAGCATTTTTTTTTAACTTTTGGAAAACAGTAAAATAATTTCTTTTTAGGAGATATATTTTTTAATATTATATACATATATCAAATATAAACAAATGACCTAATTACTACTTCCTGAAATTCCCTTGCTTATAGGGATTGTCAGTAATGAGTGATTATGTTACAACATGGTGTTTGGCTCCATAGACAGAAAATTATCACAGAATCATTCACAAATACCTAACTTGGAAAATAATGAAAAGACAGAATTTTGCACATCAGTATTAGACACAGGTGTTATAAATACTAATTATCATTTCAACACAAATACAAAGGGAATTAAAAACAACATACTCAGAGTGCTCTAGAGTCATCAGGAAGTCTTCACCAAGGAGGGGTTTGAGGTAATGGGAGATATGGGTAAATAAAAAGCAAAAATAAATAAATAAAAACCAAAAACATGAAATGTGTACAGAGATAACAATTTCTTTTGCTTTGTTTAACTCCTAAGACCATATATTATTCATGCTTTGGTTTTAGAAATCAGAATTTCCCCATGATTATTAAAATTGCCATCAGTTACTATATAAAGTGGTTTATATTTTATATAAGCACCATCACCACATTCATTTACTTTGCAAAGACATAAGTTCTCCCACCTAAGTTTTTTTTTAATCTAAGGTATTTTTTTTCAAGGTTTTATTTATTTCTTTGAGAGAGCAAGCCAGTGAGAGAGAGAGAGCAGGAGCAGGGGGAGGGGCAGAGGGAGAGGGTGAAGCAGACCCCCTGCTGAGCAGGGAGCCCAGCTCCATACCAGGACCGCAGGACCATGACCTGAGCTGAAGGCAGACTCTTTATCAACTGAGCCACCCAGGTGCCTCCATCTAAGATATTTTGAAGAGCTTATATCAACATATAAGAAATATAAACACAATAATTTGGCATGAATTCATCTCAATGACAATACACTGGCTTAAAAAAATCATTATGGGGGCACCTGGGTGGCTCAGTGGGTTAAGCTTCTGCCTCCGGCTCAGGTCATGGTCCCAGGGTCCCGGGATAAGCCCAGCATCAGGCTCTCTGCTCAGCAGGGAGCCTGGCTTCCCCGTCTCTTTCTGCCTACTTGTGCTCTCTGTCAAATAAATAAACTCTAAAAAAAAAAAAAAAAGAAGATTTCTAAAAAATATTTAAAAAACATCATTATGTTTGTTTGCTCATCATTTTGTTCAAACTGTTCACATTATGAAGGAACCAGTAGTATCATCTTTCTATGCTACAGTGTCAACACATTCAGATGGCCCTTCGCATGCATTGCAACTTCCTTAAATGTTTAGAAATCCCACCTGAAACTCGTTACTTTGCTTCTCTTTCTCTGGTTGTCCAAATTAAAAATCAACTCAGTAATAGTAAATCACTCCTCTCTTTTCTATCTACATGCTTTTTATTTCCCACCTTCCTTCTATTCCTTTTATTCCTAATTTTTTTTAAAAGATTTTATTTACCTATTTATCAGAGAGAGAGAGAAAGAGCACGTTTGCTCCCAAGTAGGGGGAATAGCTGGCAGAAGGAGAAGCAGACTCCCTGCTGAGCAAGGAGCCCCACACAGGACTAGATCCAAGGGCCCTGGGATCATGACCTGAGTCAAAGGCAAACAATCAACTGAGCCACCCAGGCTTCCACTTCCTCCTATTTCTTCTTTTTTTCCCCCTCTCTCTTTACCTACAGTAGTTGCTTCCAAGGTTAGGGGCAAGAAGGACTTGCTACCTGACTTGCTACTTGACTCGTTCAGTCTATCAGCTACTTCCTTTTCTTCCCTTGAATACTTTCAGGTTTCATCTTCTTCTAGGGATTCTGATTTCCTACACGGCCTCCTCCCCATAATAAACTAAAAAAAAAAAAAAAATTTAAGGGGTCCTTCTAAAGTCTTTCCATCATCTAATTTATAGTTTGTCCTATCCCGTCTAGTCTGCATATATTCTTATTCTCTTAATTCAAGCAATCGGTCCATATTCTGAAAGATGTCTTTTTGTCCTAAAACAACTATTTGGCTCTACCAATTAGCCACACAAGGAATTTTTTTTGGAACATTTGATATTTTAGTACCTCAGCACACATTTTTCTTGAGCTTCTCAAAAAATGTTTTATTTAGTTGTGTTTTTTAATAGTGTCAAGGTATCTTGTGGGCTATTAACTGTTAAAGTTATACCTTGCAAGTTTTTTAAATGTTTTGCATTTGATATCCTCCTTTCATATGTTTTATCCATTCCAGTGTGGTTGGAGCACTGTGTCGGAATCAAATGCGGAAAGTGCAAGTCAGGTGGGAGAAGTCCAGGGCTGCCGTAGACAGTGTGCTTGCCTTGTGCCCAACACAGTCATGCCGGCCAAGAGAGAAAAGGGAGCTGGTGCTCTGCCCACCAGGTGCCGTGCTCAGCATGAGGCTATGTTCGTCTAAGGAAGGGACGCTTTGTCAGTTCACACAAAGGTGTCAAATGGGCTGGTGGTGACCCAAGAGCAGATCATGTATAGGAACTTTTATTTTATACTAACACCCTGAGAAACCACTAAGAGGGAGTAATATAATCCAATTTGCATTTTGTAAAGAACACCCTGCTGGGTGGATCATGAATTGGAGAGAAGAAGGAAAGGAAGTAAGGAGACCAGTAGAGAGTTGATGGTGGCCAGAACTAGTGTGTTAGGAATGGAAATGAAAAGAAATGAATGGATTCAAGGCATCTTTTGGAGACAAAGTGAATAGAACTTGGTGTTGGATTAAGGGTAAAGGATAAAAATGATGCCCCAGTTGCTGACCTGAGTAACTAGATGGAATGTGGTTACTGTGTCTTGACTGGGGAAGGAACAAGTGGGGAGGGATTGTATCTAGTTTTCTGGTTCAAACCGTTTATTTGAGACACCTGTGTTATATCTCAATGGCTAGCAGGGGCCGGGTAGATATAAGTACCTGGAATTTAGAAGAACATCTGTTTTTTGTTTTTTGTTTTTTCCTGAGTGCCCCTGAGGCTTCCCTTGCCTTTAGGAGTCTAAGAAAAACACATTTGAGCAATGCTATCATGTTCCTAAAGGATCCTTAGCATCCTTTTCCTCAAACAATCCAGAAACTTATTTTGAAAGAGCCAAAATAACTCCTTGCATTGAGTACAAACATAATTGTTTTGCCTTGGAGGAAATGCTTAGTCCTATAACGGTACAATAAATGTGACTGACCCCACATTGGGGCTAGTCTTTTATCTGTATTTTATTTAATTTGAAGGACTTTATGTAAACTTTCTTAGCAAATCTTCTGTTTCCTGGTACCCTGGCTTCAGTGTTTCCCTGAGAAATTCACGTTGACCTCTTTTTTCCTCTCGTAGTGGTGTGAATCACTGTAAGTCAAGTTTGACAATTATTCTCGCCAGTTATCTGGCATTTACTCCCTCTAGGAATTTATAATCATGGTGCAATGTAAATCTAGAATCAGCCTGTCACTGAGGTGCTCTAATCTCACTAGATGAACGACGAGGCCTGAATGACTCCAGTACTCAGAGATTTGTTCTCTCTTGCTAGGCAGAGCCAAAAGCAATGGTTAAAAACCACAGGGAGAGAGATGTTGGCTCAGCTAAAGGAAAAACTGCCTAACACTTAACACTGTCTGAAGATGGAAATGCTTGCTGGGAAGGAGTGAGTTATGGTTTCTAAGTGGTGTTGAGGCATAGGGCAGACAATCATTTGATGCAGTCAGTCTATCTGTAGGAGAGACTGAAGAGTCAGAGCACAGAAGTCATCTCCACTGACTATTGAATCCCTGCTCATGCTAGAGCTTTATACAGTTATTTTGTCCTGTTTATCCTCATAACAACTCCCAAGAGAACGAGTTGTAACTCTACCAGGAGAGGTTGCAGTCACAATTTAAGATTATATGGTTAGAATGTGGCAGAGCCAGGGTTTAGAGCCAGGATTTAAACTCAACTTCGTTTGAATTCAAAGCCCTTGCTTTTCTTTCCACAATTCACAGAAGCTTGAGAAATAGAACCAGGGGATTTCTAATGTCCCTTCCAGTGCTGCGGTTCTGTATAAGTACAACATGAATACAAGGCATCCCCAACTTGACTGTGTTTTCCTTAATCATCCTTCTGGCCTCTATCATGTTAAAATGATAATTTGTGACTCTCAAACTTTCTGGGATCACCATCAAGAGAAGAGCATTCAAAAATCATTTGTACTTTGTATCCCCTCTGAGCTTTCAGTGGAATGTAGTCTAAATCCTCCAAATCTTTATTTTTTTTTTCTTATAGGGTTTCTGGGAGGGACTGAGTTTATAATACAAATATACAGAAGACTAAGCTTTTAATATTTCTGAAAACTGTCATAATATATGGTCCTAACTTCTCTACTCATTTTACAGGTCTTAGAAGATCTTGAAATATTTGACCTAAAATCAATTTTTCTGGTCTAAGTTCTGAGTCAGATTATTTTTAAATATTAGAATTTAAAAATTAGATTCATTAAAAAATTAATATTAGAATTAATTATTTTAAATTAGAGTCTGAAAATAAGCTTGATTTACTCATCTTAAGGTCAAATGCCTTTGTATGTGTGTTAAATGCTGTTTTCTAGATTGAAGCTGAGCTGGCCAAGGAAAGAGCCCGACACTTAGTTGAATTTGAGGAGCAAGCTCTGCTTTTTAAGGAAGAAGCTAAACTGGAACTTGATATTGAAAAGGAAAAACACCAAGAAATAATCCAAAAGTATAAGAAAGAACACGAGGAACTACAAACAAAGGTCTGTGATCATGATGTTCATTGTTATTTAATGGGTTTGAAACTATAGATGTTGGTTATTTCCTTCTAAGAACATTCTACAGTATTTTTAACTCAAGAAGCATTCCTGAGGTTCATTATGCCTTGGTTTTAACTACATAGGTGGAATGGTTTGGATAGTCTACAGAAGGAATAGCTGAGATAAATCCTATAAGCATATAATACAGCTACTAATGGAATTTTTTCTACAAAACTTTTTAAAAAAGATTTTATTTATTTGAGAGAGAGAGAGAGAGAGATCACAAATGGGGATGAGGGGAGGAGAAGCAGACTCCCCACTGAGCAGGGAGCACAGTGCACTAAGGGCTGGATCGTAGGACCCTGGGATCATGACCTAAGCCAGAAGTCTGATGCTTAACCTACGGAGACACCTAAGTGCCCCCAAATAAACCTACTTTTAAAACAACATAAATTAGGGACATTAGGGTGGCTTAGTCAGTTAAGCATCTGACTTTGGCTCAGGTCATGATTTTAGGGTCCTGAGATCCAATCCCAGGTTTGGCTCAGCTCTCAGTGGAGAGTCTGCTTCTCCCTCACCGTCTGATCTCCCCCCACTCTATGCTCCCTCTCTCTTTCAAATAAATAAAATCTTTAAAATAAATAAATAAAAATAAAAGAGCATAAATTACATAAATAATAATTAGCATGGTTAGATATACCAATACCTCAAATATCCAACATCAAATGATAATGATAATGATAATTAACATTTTATTTACAACTAAAGCTAACAACTAAAGCCTATCTCTTTCAATTGCGAATATTTCCAATTCTAGATATTTTTGAATGATGGGAAATATTTTAAGAACATAATCCTCCTTCATAATTTCTGAAACGGTATGTCCTAAACATAATTTTTTTAAAGATTTCATTTTTAAGTAATTTCTACACGCAACATGGGGCACGAGCTCACAACCCCAAGATCAAGTCCCATGCTCTGCCAACTGAACCATCCAGAAGCCCCCTAACCATAATTTAAGGATTTGTTTAGGTTGCCATGTTATTATAAGACCTCAGTGTCATATATATATGCATGTTTTTGTGTATATGCATATGTTTGTGTGTATGTATATGTGTGTGTATTAACCAAGACCCAGTGGGTAAACTCACTAACAGTCTGGGTAAATTAAGTATCAAATGAGGGTTAATGGCCTCTACAGGTGTACAAGAGATATAGTACAGCCTTGCCTTCTCTCTTTTTTTTTTCTCTCTCTTTTTTAAAGATTCTATTTATGTATTTGACAGAGAGGAGAGAGCACAAGCAGGGGGAGCAGCAGAGGGAGAGGGAGAAGCAGGCTCTCCACTGAGCAGGGAGCCCAACACAGGGCTCAATCCCAGGACTCTGGGATCATGATCTGAGCTGAAGGCAGACACCCAGGCACCACTGATTCAGCCTTTTCAATAGCACTGTGAATGATAAGCAGGGCCAGCTACGTGAGTATATGACAAGTATAGTATCACAGGGCCCCACACTCAAATAAATGGCCTCATGCCACTTGGGTTTAATCCTCTGTAAATGTTGTCTTGAAATTCTTAATAATTTTATCTTTGAATTTGTGTTTTGTAAATAATGTTCCATTGGGACAATGGTGCATTAGCTGGGAGCTTGAAGTCTCAGCTCACCCAAATTTCTACCTCTTCTAGACTAGTTTTCTCCAAGAAGAGGCCTCTTAAGGCAGGGGTTGCCAAGGGTTATGGTTTTCCAAAAGAAGTCATAAGCCCAGATTTTGTAAGTAAATTCTCTTGATTTTTAAAAGCTGACTCCCTTTTTGAAGAGATCAAAACACATTTGTGGCTCTGTGAGTCTTCTCTCCTGAGGATAACCTGATCTAGTTCAGTGTCAACTCTCCTCTTAATGATGGAAACTACTGCTCAGACCTAGCAATGATCCTCTTCCTTCCTGGATAAATTGAATATAATGGAATATTAATTTAATTTTTAAGTTAGTCTGAATAGATTTCTTACAGAAGTTTCTCTTAATGTAAATTTAACATTTGAAACAGATTTTGGATACATAATGCTTAAGTAATAGTTCACAAAATCCTTGAAACTTTGTTCTCTGAATGTTTTCCAGATTCTTCATGGATTGGTTTCTGGTTGTACTAATATTTATAATATGATGATATCCATAGCATAAATAATAAGGATATATTTCATCAGAAGCAGCTTTGCTCTTCCTGGTTTGTTTTCTGTTCTTTGTTTTGTTTTTTAAGGAGAAAGAAAACAAGCAGCCTTTTCCCTTCTAAAGCTCCCATGACTCTCAGGAAAAGCTGTTCATCTTCTCTCATCTCTTTATCTAGAGGTACCACCTACAGAGACAGTATATTTTCAAACTGTTCTGGTAGTCTCTAGAATTGCCCAGTCTAATATGTTAGCCATGAGTGGCAACTATAATTTCAATTAATTAAAATTAAACAAAATTTAAAATTTGGTTCCTCAGTCACATTAGCCACATTTTAAATGCTCACCAGTTAGTACTGGCAAACCAAAGCCTATTGAGTGTCTCTCTTCCCAGCTCAGCAATTGGTGATGTCACCCTGGAATTGGCCGTGGTGAGAATATTTATACCGTGGAGACTAGATACAAATCTGGCTTTTGTGTGTATGTGAATCAGTTGTTAAAAATATATTTACACAGTACTGTCATTAGGCACCTTTGGCTAGTGGCTACCATATTGGACATCACAGAATATCTCTATCATCACAGAAAGTTCTACTGGGCAATGCTGCTCTAGAAGGTGTAGTGTCTGGGGTTCCTCCAGTCATTTTTTTATAAGAAAAAAATATATCAAATGAAAACTTTATTGCTATGGTATGAGTAGAATTTAACTGTGGTGCCCACTACATGCATCCCCAAACATCAGGCATTTCTAGGTCCCAAAGCCACCCCATACTGAATCCAGACCTGGATCAAGACTTGAGCTGTACTTGGTAGCTCAATCCAGACACAGATTTATATATTTCCAAGGATGCCCAAGTGATTAATATGCAATTCCATTTAAAGTGATAAAAATACATTTTAGTCTTAACTTTTAAAAAAGAAAATCTTGGAGGCTTACATAATGTCATAGGATTTATTTTCATTTGATCAGACAAGTACACTGATTATTTAGAATAAACCTCTTAGAACCTTAAGAACTCTGTGGTTACATAGAGATATTGCCTACAACCTAATAGACGATATTATCTTACAGATATCAGACTTAATCACAGGTGCTACCAGAGAGCTAAGGCTGGAAGTGGCCACCCTTGAAGAAAAACTCCGTGAATCTTGTATCCGCTACACTGAAGATTCTGAGTCAAAGGAGAAGGAAATCAAAAACCTGAAAAATGTGGTTGCAGAATTTGAATCCCGCTTGAAGAAGGAAATTGCTAGTAATGATTCTGTTTCGGAGGACTTGAGGAAGGAAATGCAGCAGAAGTCAGATGAGCTAGAAAGAGTAATGCTGGCACAAACACAACTGATACAGCAGTTTAACGAGTCCCAGGAACAGGTAGGGAGCAGAGGACGGTGGCATCGCCATTAATGAAAGAGCACACATTCTTTCCCAAAACTAGACAAGCAGACAGAAACATGAAAGGCAGCTTGGTGTCACTCAAAGAGTTGGGGACTATGAGTCAGGGACTTGGAATTACATCCTGGTTGTGTTCTTATCTAGGCAGTCACTTAACCTCTCTGCACCTCATTTCCTTTTCTGTAAAATGAATTCACTGGACTACATAATCTCTATGGTTTCCTGGCACCCAGTTCTACTCTGTTGTAAATGACCATTTGAAACTTCGGAGACTAGAAATCTTTGTGTATGTATGTCTTATTTGTTTGGACATTAAATCTTTGCTAAAGAAACTTTTAGAGCACCTGCTGCTTAAGTTCAGAAAATAATTTGGACAATATATTTTATTTTGTTTTTTAAGATATTTATTTATTAATTTGGGGGAGAGAGAGAGCGTGAGAGGGGGTGGGGGGAAGGGAGGGGCAGAGGGACAGGCAGACTCCCTGCTGAGCAGAGAGCCCAGATGTGGGGCTCTATCCCAGGACCCTGATATCATGACCTGAGCCAAAGACAGACACATAACTGACTGAGCCACCTGGGAACCCTGGGACAATATATTTTAAAAGTAATTTCTCTTTGGGCTTTATCTTTCTGTCAACCTAAACTATAAGGTAATTTACATGTGTTGGTCTTCTTTCTTATGTATGCACGATTATTTCAGCAATATTTTTATTTAAACTAGAATAGACTTATTTTAATTTGAGTTTTTTTCCTAAAAAAGTCTTATTTCAGAACTTCTAAGCAGTTTAGGTCACACAGCATGAAGGAGCCAAGATTCATATTTGAATTTCCATGATACAATGTTTCTTATTTCAGGAAACCTGAATTCTAGTGATTCTGCTTCTAAATTTCAAAGTGACCCTCAGGCTTAGCACTCAGCATCTCCAGGTTTCATTTCGTTTCGTTTCGTTTCGTTTCATTTCGTTTCATTTCGTTTCATTTCATTTCCTTCCTTCCTCCCTCCCTCCCTCCCTCCCTCCCTCCCTCCCTCCCTTCCTTCCTTCCTCCTTTCCTTCCTTCTTTCATTTTAAAATAACACTAAGCACACTACTTACCTCTCCAGATGTTTAGGGGGTCATCTGAGAGTCTTATGCTGACACACAACAGCACAGCCTCCCTGATAAAAGGAGCCTTCACAGGCAGGCAGGAGGGGGAGGGGAGAGCACACATGGACTCAGTTCCACTGAAGAAACCCTAAGGAGAGAGGCGATGTGGGTTTGCTTCAAGTGAGACAGTAGTGAAGCTCTAGAGAAGGAACGGCAGGTTAAGGGAAAGAAAGGTCAAGGCAATTAGACCAGCAGGTTTTCTAACTCTTAAATCACCAAAGAAATGTCAATATGGAAAGTAAGGAGTAGCCTATAAACCAGGACAAGCAGAAGAAATAGAAGGGTTGAATCCAGTAAGTATATACTGAGGCTCTGTGTAGGCACCAGGCACTGTGCTAGGCCCTATCTCTGCAATTATGAACAAGACTGACAACTGCCATTTCATGCTTTTGAAGAAAAATTTAAAGACAATCTTATATGAGTAATTAAATTGACATCCAGGGGCACCTAGGTGGCTCAGTTGGTTAAGCATCTGACTCTTGATTTTGACTCAGGTCATGATCTCAGGGTCATGAGATCGAGCCCCACATCAGGCCCTGCACTGATGTATGTGCTTGCTTAAGATCCTCTCTCCCTCTGCCTCTCCCCTACTCCCTCTTTAAAAAAAAAAAAAAAAATTGACATCCAGAGGAAAGAATGACCTAAACAAAGACTTAACATATAAAAAGCACAGACTGAAGTGTTAAAAATTGGCCTTAAGGACCTGTATTTGTTATCCCTTGCTGCACAATAAATTATTCTCAAATTCAGTAGTTTCAAATAACAAACACTTACTATCTCATAGTTTCTGTGGGTCAGGATCTGAATGTGGCTTAGCTGGGTACCTCTGGCTTAAAACCTCTCATGAAGTAGGTGTCAGGGGATCAGGGGTACAATTTTGTCTGAAGGCTGAACCAGAGGAGGATTTGTTCCCATGCTCACTTTGTGGTTGTTAGCAGGATACATTTTATTATGGCTGTTGGGCTGAAAGCCTTAGCACCTTGTTGGCTATTGGTCAGAGGACTACCTCAGTTCCTCGCAATAAGGACCTTCTCCATAGAACAACTTACACATGGAGCTGGCTTCCCTCAGAGCAAGCAAGCTGGCAAGACTGAGAGTGCAAGAGAGGGTGTCACAGTCTTTAACCTAATTTCAGAAGTGACATCCCAGTGCTTCTGCTAAATTCTGTTCATTAGAAATGAGTCAGTTAAGTCCAGCCTGCATTCAAGGCAAAGGGATTGCACAAGGGGGTGAATAAGCAAGAGGGCGGGGATAACTGGGGGCCATTCTGGAGGCTGCCAATCTCAGAGGCACTAGAGGTAACTTTGACAAGAGAAGCTAGATTAAAAGTGAAGAGTGAATTTCTTTTTCAGACAAAGGGAGCTAGATGTGAAGCCCTTCCTGGTCATTAGTTGTAAAAGGAAGCCCCTTAGAGATGGAGTTTGTTTGTTTGCGTTTTTAATGCACAGTTTTGAAATATACAAGACACTGGTTTGGCCCATAAACAATCATTGATCATTACTGGGGAATAGAAAGGGATCATTCTTTTTTTTTTTTTTTAAGGTTTTATTTATTTATTTGACAGAGAGAGATCACAAGTAGGCAGAGAGGCAGGCAGAGAGAGAGGAGGAAGCAGGCTTCCTGCAGAGCAGAGAACCTGATGTGGGGCTCGATCCCAGGACCCTGGGATCATGACCTGAGCCAAAGGCAGAGGCTTCAACCCACTGAGCCACCCAGGCACCCCTAGAAAGGGATCATTCTAAAAGTAAAGTTACCTAAGGACAATCCTGGGAACAGACTTCCTTTAGCTAGGGTGGGAGGAAGGAAGGTAGATTAGATTTTCCATTAGAAGTTAAATAATTACCATTGAACTGTAAGAGTAAATAACTAAGGCTGGTTCTCTGGTTAAGCATGCCAAAGTCCAGAATATTCTTATAAAAAAGAGGAAATGAGACAATAAAAGTGATAGGATTTATGAGCCAGAAAGAATAGAGGTGGTAGTATGTAAAGTGAAAAACACTATTATTTTGAGCATACATTCCACACACTTGAAATTTCTCAGATTCTAGAGAAATAAACATTTAAGTGAAGAGCAAATTCTCATTAGAATGAAGATAAATTAATGGTCTAATAAGGAAGCTAATTAAGGACAGGAAAGCCCTATTCTCTTCAAGGGGTCAGACAATGGGTGGACTTTGCTTTTAATTGTTTGAAGAATGTTCTCAAGGATAGGAGGAAAGCCAGAGCCTCTAAAGGGCAAATGGGCATCCCTGCATGAATTATTGGAGAGTGTCCACAGAGACAGCGGGGGTCAAGAAGGTGAAGCAATGAGAGGTGCAGGTGAATAAGAGGAAAAAATGGAACGTAAAACTGAATGGGAAATGTGAATGAGAAAAGAGGGCCCATGAAAATTTTTCATAGGGAGAAGACACATTTAAAAAAAATTGAAATAATTTTTTTAAGATGTTATTTATTTATTTAACAGAGAGAACACAAGCAGGGGGAGCAGCAGAGGGAGAGGAACAAGTAGGCTCCCCACTGAGCAGGGAGCCAGATCCAGGGCTCCATCCTAGGACCCTGGGATCATAACCTGAGCTGGAGGCAGAGGCTTAACTAACTGAGCCACCCAGGCATCCCTGAAATTTTTTTTTAAGGAAGAAAGAAGTCAGAAAAGAAACTTAGTATGTTAAAGAACAGAACATCATCATTTAAAACCAGGTTAAAATAGATCACATGCTTCTTGCTGCCAGTTTTCCTTCCTACTAGCTTTATATGAGTCCTGTCAAGATAGTGTGGCCCCGCCCCACCCCACTGTCAGGGGTCTTGTTGTAATCCAGAGGAAGAATGTGGTAAGTCCAAAAGTTTTAAAAGCTATCAATTTCTCTAATCATCTAATGAAACTCAAAGACATTCAAAGATAAAAAGGAATGTTCTTGATTAAACTTGGAGAATTGAATACATATGTTTATCTATGCTTCATCTCAAAACAGCACTAAAATGACAGTGTGAATACATCCATAAGGAAAAGAGAACAGGAGAGGAAGGAGTTGACATCAGATGAAAGAGATATTGACCAAATTTTGGAAAATAATTCAGAAGTAATTAGTAGACTGTAGGATGTTAAAACCTAATGCCTGTGGGGATTGGGGTGAACCCCTAAAAGGATTATGTGACATAGCCCTAGAAAGGCTCAGGAATTGGAGATACCAGAACCTTCTGAAAGAGAGAAGAGTGAATCTGAAAATGGGATTGTATGAATGTAAAAGGAACAGATAGATCCTCATATGCCCTCCCTAACCCCTAAGCAACCCTCACTCACCATTCTGGCAGGATACCAAAGATTTACATTCTAGAAAAACTGAATGTGAGAGGCTTTGGACCTGAGGTTACAGAACAGCAGAATGTAGGAGAAGGCTGGAATGAAAGTCTTTATCTTGAAGAGTGAGACCTCCTCTTCCACTTTACCCATTTACTTCCCAGAACACAGACAACTGGGTTTATATATCAACAGCTAGGAAATTGGAAGTGCCCTCTCTGGAGAAATGAGATGGCTCAAAAGACAAGACAAGACCTATGGATCCTGATAATTGGGGTCTCCCAGTGCAATGACGATAGTCATGTCTTATCTACCCACTAAGAAGTATAGCAAATCAATAAGCCCCCACGTAAACTCTCATGTAGCTTCCAATAACATTTTGGAGACTCATTTTTAAAAACATGAACAGCCAAAAGACCACCAAAAGTTTTAGAAATACCTCTAATCTGAGACAGAAACAAAGATCAAACAGATAAGTAAAAAAGAACTCAGAAGAAAAAGATACAAAATAATGCAGGGAGAAAATGTGAGCTTCAAAA